GCGTCGTCACTCGAGGCATTTTCACGCCATTTCACTTGGTATTTGTATACCTTACAAATATCCAGTCATGGGCCGATGACTCATGAACATATATATGAATCTCGTTTATCCGCTCGAATAGATGCAAGCTTCAATATCTATATATGCTTATTTATTTCTTGCTGGTGTCTATGGTGAAAAATCTATGCCAAGGTTGAGAGTGCGAAAATCGCGGCATCGGCAGTCGCCGGTCTTGGCGACCTCGCACAAGAATCACTTGGGCGGTGCTGCCATCGAAGCTCTCAACGACTCAAAACAGGACCCTCCATGGTACCCACAGCGCTTCATATGAACAAATCCGTGGGGGCAGGACGTCGTAACAAGGCCGCGTCAAATGCGCACGGGCGCGCAAGTCGGGCAGTGCGTCACAAACATCGACCGAGAAACGTACACAAGCGTTGTCCCTTCCATGCAAATTTGTTCATTTCAGTCGGAGGGGAACGCTTGCTCGTGGCGAGTATGCATCAAGCGGGTGTGAGTAGTTGAGGTGCTGCATGGCTGCATGGTGGAGGTGAATCGCCACTTCAAAGCCGGTGTCGTCGAAGCTATGTCGTGGCTGCAGTACAAATATGGTTTTGATTTTGACGGAGGAGATTTTATTCAACGATCGACGACACCATCTGTGCCTCTGGGTTCACTCCGAGATAGTTGTGCAGTCGCGTGCGGTGTTGTGCATCGTGGAGGACGTCTTCCAGTATATCGAGCATGATTGTTGTGTCAAACTGTTCGAGCAGCTTGGCAAAAGCATCGTAGACTCGGCACTGGGCGTCGGTGAACTTGTACGTTTGCTATCAACGACACCGATGCAAACATGCAATTACAACAAGCCGCGAGTGAGACTCTCCACGTACGGCCACGGTCTGCAGGTCGAGCACGTTCAATGACACTGTGCTCGTGCATTCTGGAATGCTTCCGACGTCCTTCGATTCCATTCTCGACTTCTTCGTGCGCTTGGGCGCATGGGCCTTCATTTGCCGGACGCTCCACGTGAAAAACTGCCGCGAAACAGTTTCCCCATGTAACTGCCACGTTCGAATTTCTCTTGCACCGCACATATCGCAACGATTTCAGCCAATAGTTATATCATACAATAATATTTTTGACCAATCAAATAAATTTCATGTATTTTTCAAAGTGGATGAAAAATGCAATTCCAAGCGTCTGTGGTAAAACCAAGCCGCTCCAAGAGGCTGCCCTCTTTGTGCATCCGTGCGGCATTCTTAAACACCTTGGCGAAAGCTCCAGTGTCGAGCCCTGGAATGCTTGACCTTTTAGTTTCCACGGCACTGCCTCGTTCGGGAAAGGTAACTCAGCGCGTCGTGCTGTGCGTGGCATCGCGTGCGGAGTGCACGAGGACATACACTTGATTTTCGAAAAGACGAAACCAACGTCATGTTTAGCCATCGCTTCTTCAGCTCCCAGCAGATAGTGCAACGCAATTCTGTGTTCGCAGCACACACTCGATCGTCTTGCAATCACGGAATGCTTGCTTCGGTCCGCGACCACTGTCCCGGACACAAAGCCGCAACACCGTCGGTGGAAAACTTTGGATTGGCTCAATCTTGCACCTGATTGGCTACTGTGTGTTTATCTGCTATTGGATTGGCTGAGTTTTGCATTGCTGCTGTCGGATTGGCTGAAATCCCATCTGTGTAATCCAGTGTGATTACCCAGGTCGAAATGCCCGTGGAAGGCGACGACGGCGGCATTTGGTATTTTGACATACGCGGATCACGATCGTAATGGACTTGGTGCTGGACTTTGCCGACAAGACATTCCTGACAGAGCACGTGTACCCGTCGTGGATGCCAGCGGACGACATTGGCCGCCAGAGTCTGTCACTGTTTGTCATCACGGCGGTGGGAGGGTATGCGCTGTACTTGGGGTTTGCCTGCCTCAGCTACCTCTTTATCTTTGACAAAACCTACGAGCAACATCCTAAGTTCCTGAAGAACCAAATCCGCCTCGAGCTCCAAGTCGCGTGTGGCTCCATCCCGTTCATGACGCTGTTGACCCTGCCAATCTTCGTCGCCGAAGTCCGCGGCTACAGCTTTCTGTACGACGACGTCAGCGATTACGGCTACGGGTACCTCGCGTTCAGCGTTGCCATGTTCATGTTTTTCAATGACATGATGATTTACTGGATTCACCGACTCCTCCACCACCCTCTCGTGTACAAGCACATCCACAAGCTTCACCACAAGTGGCTCGTCCCGACGCCATTTGCCAGCCACGCATTTCACCCCGTCGATGGTTTTCTCCAGTCGGCGCCGTACCACATCTTTGTCTTTCTCATGCCGCTGCACAAAGGTAATGCGCATGCGCCACATTGGCGACCGCCACGAATAGTGTGGTTGCGTCGGGCTTGTTCTTCAATGGTGTTTTTCGTGGATTGGCTGGTGGAAGCTCTTGTTTCAATGGATCGAGGCGACAGACGACTCCACGTTACTATTCTCGAGTGTGTGGTGGTGTCATGGAACGTGTCGATGGCACATGCCGATCGATTCCTTGACGTGCATGGCTGTTTTTCGATCGTGGCTTGTTTGGAGTTGTGTCGTTTGAAACCAGGCGTCGCCATGGCGTCTTCCTTGGGCGTGTTGCCATCCATCATTTGTGCAACTCACGCTTGTTCGTAGTGGTGTACCTGGGCTTGTTTGTCCTGGTGAACTTTTGGACAATCTCGATCCACGACGGCAATTTCCTGATGGATAAAATGCCCGCCTGGTTGGAGCTGATCGTGAACGGCGCCGCGCACCACACGGACCACCACTTGTACTTCGACTTCAACTACGGGCAGTACTTCACGCTGTGGGACCACCTCGGCGGGTCGTATAGGTCGCCCAGTCCGTTCGACCAGAATGGTCCTCTCGACGATGTCAAGCGTTTGCAAACAGCCCGGTCCAGCTAACTGTACCTGGTTGCAATGATGCCTATTACACTTAACCCCCGATCCATCGCGACGTGGTGGCGGAATCGACGCCAAAATCGCGTCGACACCCGACGGAGCAAATTGTACATGCAATCGTGGGTGGGTCGAGTCACCGTCGCCCCTCTCCCGTGCAGTGTGGTGAGATAATGCGCCAGAATAAATCAAAGCCCCATGGTAATTCGTCGGTGGGTCGTGGCTGCACGCCATAACTGCAGCGACGTTGCGCTGTGAGAGACTTTGAATTGCTGGAACCTCACGGGTAGTGTGTGTGCACGGCACTGTATCGGTACGCCGCCCACTGCTGCGCGGAGACTGCACGGGAAGCATGCTCGTGGACAGCAGACACTTCGTCATGCACAGCAGCGTCGGTCGGCTGTAGACGTCGCGCCAGCTCCGCTGCAGCGTTGAGCTGAGTTTACTCGGAGTACGCAAATATTGTGGGACGGAGGGAGTACTGTTTTACAGTGTTTTATTCTAGTATACGTTGTCCAGTATAATTTGACTACGCAAGGGTACAATTATAAAATACGAACAAAGTATACCATATTCAATATATTTCTCCAGCATAAAAAATAGAAAACACCAGAGCACCAATTTATGAAGATTCTCAATAAATGAGCACATGACTTCAAAAATGATGGATTTTGATGAACCTTGCACACTAGCGACAAAACACGCGAACGTAAGTAACTTGCCTGCGCCAACAACATTGGTTTCGACAAAATCCGCAATACGCGCCATCGTTGAAAACGCCAATTGACAATTTGCGCGGACACTGGTTTTGGCGAGATGAATCCTGGAATTGGCCTGTTTAGGCAATTCCGCCAACTCTCCCAGGCACAACGAGGAAATGGCAAGCTGAACGGCGTTGCATTCTGCGTCGGGAAGATGGCGACGCACGCGAGTTACGCCATGTCGGAGGAGTATGAGCCGCAGCGCCAAGGCGGCAAGTACAGCGGTATGTCCCGATCTCGCTTTGCACACACTTCACGGTATCGTAGCGGCAAATGCGAAGAAGCGATTGGTGCGGAAGATCCAACAGGACAGCATGAAGCAGCTTGCCATGACGACACAGGCCGTGCTCGTGCGATCGCCCACGGAGCCGTATTACTCGTACCACATGACAATCACGTCCGAGTACTACAAGCAAAAGTGGATCGCATGCCATCGGTATTCGGACTTTTACCGACTGCGGCACACGATTCTTGAGATGCTGTCGGTCCATGCACGGATGGGGTGCCCCGTGTGCCAGACCGTGCACACCCAAGTCAAAAAGTTTGACTTCCCCTCGCGCGACATCTTTCGGCGAGGGGCGCTCGACAAGCAGGTCGCGATCCGACAGCCCATGCTTGAAGACTTTGTCGTCGCACTCTGCCAGTACTTGTCGGCCGAAGGACTCACGGTGCACTGCCGCAACATCGTGAAGGTTCAAAACAAGGTACATTCCATCGCCATGCTTTCAACGTTGTTTTTCACCTCGGACTAGATGAAAGACTTCATCCAGTTCCCGCTTGCCCACGAGGAGCAGCACATCCGCGCGATTCGATCCCTCACGTACGACGTCGACGTGTCACGAGGCAACGATGACCATGATGCTGTTCTTGTAGGTATGTTGACCCGCGCGACGTACACGTGGAGACGGAATCGTGCCCGATCTGTTTGAACGACTGGGGCGAGCTCGACGGAAACCAGCTCGTGCATGCCGAATGCGGCCACTTTTTCCATGAGTACTGCATCAATGAATGGTGCACCTACTCCCCCTCGTTGTGGCGGGCGACTCTCACTCGTTTATGCCGTGCAGGTACACGACGCGGTTCGACTGCCCCATGTGCCGCCACATCGCCGGCTTGTGACTGCGTCGAGACGCCCGTACAGGACTTCCAAGAGTATGACGAGACCATGTATATTCTGGGTTGTTGTGTACCTATACATTTCGTGAATATATGTGAAGGCGTGTGGCGTTGTATTCCGTACAGGACATTACAGAATAAAATGGTCCGTCGTATCTTAGTGTGTCCAGTATCCAAATGAAATACTACAAAAATCATACTATAATGTTGAATTGAGTACAGAACATCACAAAATATACAAAATTGGTAACAGTCGTTAATTCGTTTGTCCAGTGTTTATTGTAGTACCTTGAATAGTATTACTTAATGAGTTTAGTACGTTGCACCTTCAAGATTTCAGACGGACCGCCGCGCGATCGTCGTGGGATCTCCAAGCATGATGGAAACGCATCGCCACCGGAATGGTGGGGACAAGATGAAGGTGTTTCTCTTGACCTTTTTCAGCTACGTGATGCTGCACGTATCACGGAAGTCGTTCTCGGCTGTCAAGGGAGAGATGAGCAAGGAACTGTTCATGGAATCCGCGCTGTTCCCATCGGCCGAGCAAGGCAAGATGTATGGCCTGATGGACACTCTCTTCATGGTGTTCTATGCAAGCGGGCTTTATGTCAGGTACATCGCACACCCCTGCTCCAAGTTCATGCATTAACGTTAGCGGCGTCATTGGCGACCGCTTCGACCTGCGGAAGCTCCTCGCGGGAGGCATGTTTGTCACGGCAGCCATCATGTTTGTATTTGGCATGTCGGCGTTCGTCGGCATACGATCGCTGGGGCTATATGCATCCCTCTGGGCCCTGAACGGTCTCGTGCAGTCCATCGGATGGCCCGTCAACGTTGCTGTCATGTACGACCTGCCCGTGGCGCATCCACTTGTTTTACTGCGTCTATCTGCATAGGGGCAACTGGTTCAACAAGCAAGAGCGAGGCGGTAATGACTCTCTTGATTGTCTCGCCATTCGTGCGTTGGTGGGGTGTTTGGGATGGTGTATTGATTGTTGATGTCGTCATTGCTTTGTACCTCGTTGCTGAGCCATTTTTGCTCACAAAAATGATGCATACAAGCGTTGCTTGCATCTGCGCTCCATGCATCCGGGAAGGCAGCGAGTTTCATGAGACTTTTACCTGTTTTTCATATTCATGTGACGGTTGGAGGCGGGATTGCGCCGCCGACGCTGCCGATCAAGACCTTCAGGACGCGCCGAACATCGGCTAATGCGCCGACTTGTAGCTGTCATGGGAGTTTGGAGCGCAAACGCGTCGTTCGGGAACATCGTTGGGACGGCCGTGGTCGCGCTGCTGTACGTGGCGGTGCCGTCCAAGTCCGTGGCGTGGAAGAGCGCCGTTCTGGTTGCCGGGGGGCTCATTGCAGTTCAAGGATGGCTAGTGTATGCATTTCTGAAGCCATGGCCACCGAAATTCGGATCGGACGATGTGGAGGAGGCGCTCCTGGCGTCGCGCACTTCGTCGGACGACGTATCGACAGCGGCATCTTCCGACAGTCGTGCCAGTCGAAAGCAAGGCATCTCGTTTTGGCGGGCGTGGCGGATCCCAGGGGTGCCGCGACATTCCATGCAATCATCTCACTGCCATGGCTGACTTGGGGCATGCAGGTCCTGTTGTACGCCCTGGCGTATGCGTGCTTGAAGTCGCTCAACTACGCGCTCTTCTTCTGGCTTCCGTTCTACCTGACGTTGACGCTGGGCATGGACGATGCCAAAGCAGATCTGTACTCGGTACGTACCATGACGCGCCTGTGTTCGAGTGGCGCCTACCAAACCACAGCCGACGACGGTGACGTGTGCATGGATCGTGTGGGATGGTCCTGCTTGCAATTCCTAATTTCGTTGATGTGCAGATGCTGTACGATGCGGGGCAAATGACGGGCGGCTTTTTGGGCGGCTACGTCACGGACAAAGCCGGCATTCGGTCGCCGATAGTTGCTGTCATGATTGTCACGGCCACGTACGAGCTCGTTCGTTCGAGCGTCTCACCAAGGCGCCGTGAATATGCAGGGGCTTGTTGCATTTGTTCCAAGGGGCGTCGCACGCGCAAACGAGTGTGCTGCTCGTCGCGACGGGGTTTCTGCTTGGCGGACCAGCCAACTTGATCAGTACCGCCATTTCGGCCGACCTCGGCACGCACGACAGCCTTCGTCAAGATACCATGGCGCTGTCGACGGTGACTGGAATCATCGACGGCACGGGCAGCGTCGGCGCGGCGATCGTGCA